AGTAGTGTATATACATAGTTCGAAGAAATCTTATATAATAATTAAATGCTGTTCATATTAAATAAATTTCCTTCACTTATAACTGTCAGGGATTGTCAACTGTCAATGTTATGGTGAACAACTGACATGGCTATATTTCGTTCGCTATTACTGATTCCAAGGCGGCAGGCGGCCTATTAAAATTAATGTTAAATCTCCCTCTCAATTTCAAAATTAATTTAGAAATTAGAAACATAACCGAACTTAACCCTCAAGTTCGATTAAACATTAATACAGTCAACCAAACAAGATCAAAGTGCAGTTTATATAAGAAAATAATTGCTCAATTTAGAACTTAATCTACGACACTAGAACAAATTGAAGAACATTTAAAACGCCAAAAAGTTACTGTGAATAACGCCGGTAACTTTAAAATTATTAAGGCCTACCGCACATGATGCGATGCTTAATAATAAATCTTATAATTAATAGAGATAATGATGTAGGCCTGAATGAAAATACGGCCCGTCTAGTAGAACATTAAATAATATGTCGTAATATGTTGACCGTACCAAAAACACGAATAAATGTATAAAATAAAATAAAAATCTATTTGAGGAACGCTTAAAATTTCTAATTCATTCAGATGTAGATATAGATATTCACACCTACGACCACACATCACGATCACGATCACGTTTCACATCACGACCTAGATATTTTCACAGAACATCGTCTATTTACAAACTATACAAGTAATCGACAGGCTTAATTATTTTTAATCCACACATTTAATACACAGAAAACATTCATCTCGTACATACAATATTTCTCATTAATACAAATGTTTATAAAATTAATGAAGATCAATCCTTTAACGATCGATAGATGGTAAGATATGTGTATCAAATCGGAACAGTACCAAGATCTATATATATATATATATTGTATTATGCCTATCTATAATATATAGTATATTATAGATAGACATAATAAAAGGAAGTCGATTATTTGCCCTTGATTTCTCTCAGTACCAGTATGACTGACACTGCTCGTATAGAAAAAAAAGACTAATTTAACTCCTTAAGAGATATAGATGATGATCAAATATAAAGTTAAGTAGCTGAGAACAAGGCCTGGATATACAATATTTTAAAAATAATTCTAAAAAATCGTCCCTTCTACATATTCCGTAATAATTCTCCACAGTCTTCACAATAACATAAACATTCATTATAATTTCCCAAACATACAAATACAGCAAAACTTTCATAATCAAACTAAACCTCGGAATTTAATTAAATGCACACAAACTAAGTTCGTAACTTTTGCAATTCGTTTATGTTTATTGAAATTGTCGAATTTCAAATGTACGTAAATTAATTCGTAATTAATTCATTGTACGAATATACTGAAATAAGAATACAGGACCAGCAATTAACCTCATCAACAATATCTTTTAGCTTTACCACGCTACCTCTCTCCAATCATTGTCGCTCAAGGAACCTATTCTGTACTTTGATTTTTACTTTTTAATGGAATGAGACATTCATTCCATTAAAGCATCTATTTTTGCATAAGGTAAAGTAAGATTTGTACAATGTTATCACGATACCTCTGTCTCGCCTACTTAAAGCTTAAGCAAAGCAGCTAGACTTTGTAAACTGTATTTAAGTTGGGGGATGAGATAGCAGGGAAATTACAGGGTAAATATAGTGTTTTTTTATTTAGTTACAATAAGTTATTACCCTCACAGCAAATTGATTACAATAATAAATTTAAGTATTTTACTATAAAAAATACTACATGTATTGTTGCCATCATGTTTGTGAGGAGAAATAAATAAATCATATTATTAGTATTATATATAAGAAAGAACAATTTCTGCTACAATAACTGCTGGACAATTTGGTTGAATGATATTTGTTACACAGATATATAAATTCCTAAATTAAAACAAAGGATTTTCATCCGAATTAACACAGATAGTACTACGGGACAGGTACTAAAAATATACGAGTTTTTCTATATTATTTTGCTTAGAAAACATTATTTTCTGTCAGCATGATAGTATTTTTTTTTAATAGAAAAAATAACCAAACTTCTTAGTGGCTTAAAAATGTTCCTTAACTAGGAAATGTGCGCGATGCGAAATAAAATACTCTCAGTTAGCAAGCAGATCATTAAATTGTTGAATGTGCGAATGGCCTTACGGCCTTACAAAACTAGGGTTTGAGTTTCCTAATTCATTATAAAGCGACCCTAGTCAAAAGGTCGCGTGGTTAACCTTAGAAAGAGCTAGATATATACGAGTAGATGTAAGTATAAAAGAGACAAGCAGTTGCCACATCATTTACACATCAGATGACTGGCTTTCGCGCGAACCCCGCTGACTTTGAGCTTACTAAAATTGCCCACTCGAGTAATTGACAAACTATATAGAGCAGTCATTTATTTAAATGTCACTGCTCTTTTTTTTTAAGTTTATTTTTGTCTAATTTCTTGTTTTCATATTAGAATATGCTGATGGTGCTCAATCAACAAAATCAATAGACAATAAATTATGAAGATAATTCTTGGAATTTTTGTCTATTTGTTTGTGTCTGATCTCACAAACATTGTCTATGTTGTATGTATGTAAGATTGTTTGTTTTAACTCAATCTATTTAGGTACAAACAAAAACATTGAAAACTACATATTATTTCGAATATCAGGAACGAAATCGCGGGCTCAGCTGCTAGTGATATTAATGTAGTTTAGTATATTGAGATAGTCAGACAACAACGACAAAATAAACTCTGAAATAGGAGTTTATTTCTAGTGACAAGCAGACTTTTAAAGAATATAAGAAATTGGACAGTTAATTGTCATACTATTAAATGCTAAATATTCTAAAGGTGCTTTTTATAAGTTATTCGGTTCTTATTTGTTTAAGGTGAATCTTATATTTTGTATTCTTTTAAAAACAAGTACTTACCGAAACAGTAAGATCTTCATTATCAGAATTAGGTTTAGTATTTGATATATTGAAGTTTGAAATCTCATTCCTTTATTATATTTCATTTTAGCTTTAGTTATATGAACATTTTCAACTATTGTATATTCATTCATTCATAATTTAAGAGATGTGCTCTTGTCGGTGGAGCTTCCGCCACCTTCCACGATCTTGTATCAGTCCTTTTAGCTGTTGATACGATACGACTCCAACTTTTTCTTTAAATTTCTTGATATATATGTCTTGGTCTTCCCCTTCCTTTCACTTCTTTGTGTACACACGAGAAAAATTTATTTCCTTACCTAATATACTATCTTATTAAAACGTGTATAAATCAAAATAAAATATGAGAAAAAACCACCACATTTTGAATTCGAATACTTAGAAGTAAAACTCCAAATTAAGATTACCAAACAGTTGCAAATACATGATTACATGATACAAAAAAGTAGGCAAAAACATGCAGGAGATATTTAAAAAAATGGGAATTAATCTATGATTTTTTCTCTTTATTATTCAAATAACGGAACTAATTCACTGGGTGTGTTATCAGCTCATGACAGTTCCTCATGACGTAAAGTTGACGATTCACATCTTGCCTACGTACGGACACTCATGCACTATTCAAAGCATCCAGTACACTCAAACGACTAATTTACAGAAATCCCTTTAAAATGATAATATGGACTTCCCCGTAATGAGGGTATCGATTTTATGCAACTGCTAAGGAAAGGTAACTTGTTTATGTATTTTTATTACTACGATGGTGACAAACGAGTTATGTCTTATCTTACTTATAGTAATATTAATTTAAAATAAATATAATTAATAAAAGTAATGGCAACCCCTCTATCTGCGTAAGAGATCTAGAGTGAATATAAATAGATAGATAATTATTAAATATATATTTAGGATTATTGTAAACTGACTGTTACGTCTATTTTTAATTTTGATGAATTAAACTCATTTAAATATGTGTTAAATAATCTAAATAGCCGTTTAATTGAGTGTTCGACACACGCAATGAATTACGCTTTAGGTTACGCTAAGAAATATTTTACCAATTAGTTTTTTTGTATGTTAGTTTTTATTAATAACTGAACTTTATTAGGGACTGATTATAGGCATAGCAAATGGACGGGTGGAATTATGATAATTAGCTATTAATACTCTACTGGTGGATATTTTTTATATGCAATTAGTAATTTTATGTATTTTTCTATTCAACATCAAACTAAATATTTCCGCTTTTTAATGTTTTATTAAAGATGACGCATCATAATTTGGATAATTACAATTAACCTGTTTAATCAAAACCAGTTCATTCTTACTTTATCTTTTCTATATAACACGGTTAAAATGAAACAACCATATTTTATAAGATATTGCTTGTTTTTACGGCCCACTTAAATTTAAAAGGGTTTTTCGTTAACCCCAAAAACTTGAGGAAATAAAAGCTTTATCAATATTTAAATCGTAACAGTTTTATTAAACTTTTTATACTACAGTTACTACTATTTTATTATAGAATTAAGCTTTTATACTGTAATTAATGAAATTTCAATGTAGGTTATTAAGGAATACTAATAATAACAAACAATTGGATAAATCACACAGCGTCCTTTAGTAAACTAAATAAATAAATGAAATACTTTACAGTTATTTTTGTAAAAAATTGATTTATTTAATTCTGTTTTTACATATTATTGAATACATTTTGTTTTAGTATATATCCCGAGAAAAATAAAATATTTTGTATTATTATATCACAATATTCGTAATAACATAATTAACGTGCACTGTATTTTTATATAAAAAAAACAAACATATTTTTTTTATTTTACAAAATGGAAACCATTATTTCAACTACCTACAAATAAATTGTAAACGACTGTACTCTTAACTAATTATCGAATTTAAATGAAAAAGGTCATACATTATAAAAATCAAATAAATTGGCCACATCACAATTTATTTTCTTTTTAAATTTGAATATAGAACCATCTTTATGATGGTATGTAAATGGTCTGATGATATCAATTGTTTTAAGCCAACGCATCTATTCGGTCGTGCGTTTCTCATAGAACATATTGAGTTTATTGTTGTAATATTGCAATGAGGGAAATAGTGCATATTCAAGCCGGGCAGTGTGGTAACCAAATTGGAGCAAAGGTTTGTTATAAACTTTCTTATACATACACAAAATATCCACAAAATACGTCAAAACAATATTTCAGCGTGGTCAGCTTTGTGAGTACAGCTGTCTTCCTTTGCGGCAGCCAAGCAGCTTGCTTTGTAAGCTATTTTGGTTGAAGAGCCAGGCAGAAAAAAGATAGTCAGTGAAATTAGTTAACTTATTGTCAGGTCAGCCATTTTGCCATTCCAAGTACATAAAAAAGCAATCCTTGTAATAATTCCATGTGTTAGTTTCTTTTCATGTTTTAATAGCGTCTTAGACATTATGTCAAAATAGACTTTGTACGCAGTCATCTCTATAGATTCTTTTGTTGCACTTATTTCTACCGCTAGGTAACTTTGTAGATATACAGGGTGAATAAAGCAGAAAATTTATAGAATATAGTTGCTTAACTTTATTTACAAGGTAGCGGCTTATTTTTTTTTTAGATGTAAGAATAATAGCAACAACATTATCATGTGACGCCCATTGTATCTGTTATATAAAAATACTCAAATCGAACAGTAGCTTGTTTTGATTGATTCTGTCTACTACTGTATGTGTCTACTGAAATGTATTGAAATATATATTCAAGCCAAATCCCTTAGACAGAATACTGTAGAAACGCTCACTTATTGTTAGTACTTCCCGTGTCTTGTCCGCGCAGAATGCATCTCTCGCTCTCATGGGGTTTTAGAAAGTGCATTCATGCCGCTTACGTGCGCCTTTCAAGTAATTCCACATAAATTTGTTTCTAAGATGTTTTGGATAGGTGTAAGGATAATAAATATTTTTCCCATAGGTCAAGTCTCTACATTGTCTGGGTAGTTCTTATATTTTTTTTGCGTGTGCACGCTTATCAAGAAATGTCTTGATCTATTTAAATAAATAAATTATGTGGAGCGTAAAAAAGCAGTAAATGCTGTGAAAATAAAGCATACAAATAATAATAAGTTTTTATTCATAAATAAAACAAAGTAATAATAATACCTTAGACAATTTCACACAATCCAAAGTTCCAAGTATTTGTATTGTGTAATATAGATAACTAAAATACATTATTCTTGTACATACATACATTGAAAACATCCACACAATACAAGTATTCATACTCATGAATATAAATATTTGAAGAAGTTGATCCCGCGAGTATTGGAACTAAGGCGGTAAACCTAAAACTAAGCTAACCGCTACACCAGCGTAACCATCGAAATGTGTAGGTATAATAGATACAAAAAATCCGTTGACGATGAAACGCGAGTTCATTTTTGTATAATAAATTGAAGTGGCTTGTTGGTATTGCCAGCTCAGTCAATACCGCCTGCAAGCCGAACATGAATTTAACATGATAGCACAGATCTGCATGCTATTGAACTCGTGTTATTCATAAAATACTGATGTATCAGTGAAATCCGCTGGTCTTTATACCGGATAATTGATGTTTGGTCGACCGGCTGGTCATTTTCGTCTGGATATTTATTCTTTTCTATCGTAATACGAATTTGATATTCGTTGTCAAATAATACAAAATACACACTAAATTTTTTTAACATCCATAACACCCAAACAAATAATAGATGAAATATACATGGAGTATAATTAAATATAAATGATGTAAAAGAAAAACTATTACTGTATTATTATACATAATAAAACGTATGAGTGCTTGTTAGAATTTATATCTGTCTGTCTCTACACCCAAAATAACAATTTATGTCCTATCAGTCGGTGGCAATGTACACTGTACTGGGTTCTTCATTTTGAATACTAGCCAAAGACAAATATTGACATAATCTAGGTTACACTGAAATGTTTATTCTAAATTTCAGTTCTGGGAAGTTATATCGGACGAGCACGGTATTGACCCCACGGGAACCTATCACGGTGACTCCGACCTGCAGCTGGAGAGAATTAACGTCTACTATAATGAGGCAACCGGAGGCAAGTACGTCCCACGAGCCATCCTGGTCGATCTGGAACCGGGCACTATGGACTCTGTGCGATCAGGACCATTTGGACAAATCTTTCGCCCAGACAACTTCGTATTTGGTCAGTCTGGAGCTGGTAATAATTGGGCAAAGGGACATTATACCGAAGGCGCCGAACTCGTAGATTCTGTTTTAGATGTAGTAAGGAAGGAGGCGGAAGGTTGCGACTGTTTACAGGGATTCCAGCTGACGCATTCCCTGGGAGGTGGTACTGGCGCAGGATTGGGGACATTATTGATCTCGAAAATTCGAGAAGAATACCCTGATCGTATTATGAACACTTTTAGTGTTGTGCCGTCCCCTAAAGTATCCGATACTGTAGTTGAACCATACAATGCTACTCTCTCCGTGCACCAGCTAGTGGAAAATACAGATGAATCGTACTGCATAGATAATGAAGCTCTATATGACATTTGCTTCCGGACATTGAAATTGACTACTCCCACATATGGAGATCTGAACCATCTTGTATCTGCCACTATGTCTGGAGTTACCACTTGTCTCCGATTCCCAGGCCAACTTAACGCCGACTTGAGGAAGTTAGCAGTAAACATGGTGCCATTTCCTCGTCTGCATTTCTTCATACCTGGCTTCGCTCCGTTGACATCTCGCGGAAGTCAACAGTACCGCGCATTAACTGTGCCTGAGTTGACACAGCAGATGTTTGATGCGAAAAATATGATGGCAGCCTGTGATCCTCGACATGGTAGATACTTGACAGTAGCAGCTGTCTTCAGAGGTAGAATGTCGATGAAGGAAGTAGACGAACAAATGATGAATATTCAAAATAAGAATTCTTCATACTTCGTGGAGTGGATTCCTAATAATGTGAAGACTGCTGTCTGTGACATACCTCCACGTGGTCTTAAAATGTCTGCAACTTTCATTGGGAATTCAACTGCTATACAGGAGCTGTTTAAACGTATCTCCGAACAATTTACAGCAATGTTCAGACGTAAGGCTTTCTTACACTGGTATACTGGTGAAGGAATGGATGAGATGGAGTTTACCGAAGCGGAGAGTAATATGAACGACTTGGTATCGGAATATCAGCAGTACCAAGATGCCACAGCTGAAGAGGAAGGCGAATTTGACGAGGAAGAAGAAGGTGGCGATGAAGGAGATTAGACATATCGTTTTTAAGGTTTTCGTTATTATATTATGTATTTTGTAATTGTCGTTTTATTATATATTTTTATTTATGGACTCTTATATACTTTTTATAAGGATACAAATCCCTAAAAGCATTTCTCATGTTACATTTTGCACAACTAATTAGATTCATGTTATCATGTATCTCAATAGAGGCATGGAAACTCGTGGGGATACTACTAATCATCTATGACGAAATAGGACCAACATGGAAATTGTTATTGGCAGACATCACTTAACTAATTTTCTACTTTTGAATGTCATTATAATCGATCTAAATTGAAAGTATTGCTCTGCTACCACCACATTCCGTACAAACGAATAAATAGTCGTTTTTGTTTACATAGTTTAAAACTTCAATATCTTTATTACATTGGTTGCAAATGTAACTACAAAATGATTGGAACATCATCTATTCACAGTGCGTCTCTCAATCGATGCCAATCTCTGCTCTAACTCGTTTATATGCACGAATGTATTTCGAGACATATTTGGTTATGCAATCTTCCGAAGCAGGACAGACGTGTAATAACTATATTAGTACTTGGTCTGATCTATGAATAGAATAGCAATAAATATTTCTTTCTGGAATGGCAAACAAGCTGTGGGCACACCTGATAGTAAAATAGGCCATTTACATTAACAGCACTCACAGCAGTCCTGACATCACGTAACCTAAAACATGATCACATGATAACGTGATGCATTGCCATTCGTGTGGACTAAGATATACATCTATGTACTATAATTTAATTGTCCAAAACCCTACAAACTAAACAGCCTAGGAAGAATGAAAAAAGTCGGAAGTTATTTTCATTGTACTCTTGAAAATTTGCACTAAATGTGTAATATGTGTACAAAGGTAATAAGTGTGTGTTGAATATTCCAAACTGTTGAATGCAGTGCACAGCCCGATCAATACGAATCTCGGCGAACTGCTGCTATTTTAAGGCGCGAATATATTTCGAACCACTTCAATTATACTTCTTCCACTAGTTTTCAAATAAGGGCGACGGATAAATGAGAATTCTGGTGAATTTGGCGGTGCAGATAAAACGTAATGCTGGTAATGTTAGGCTTTATTTTTTAATACTTGTGCGAAACGACTTTAAACTTAAAAACCTTTTATATTTATAGTCTCTTTTTGTATGTCTATTTTGATTTTAGAAGTAAAACGTAACTAGATTCGATATGCCTTCTAATTGACATATCAAGAAACAAATTGGTAATTGGATTCATGTTGAGAGATAGGAAAATAGATTGGCCCTGCCAATCACGAACCAAAAGGTGTAGTTTCTGAATACTAATATTTATTGTGATAGGTGTAGTTATTTTAGTTACAGACACTTTTCTATGAAGACCTATTCTAGTAGCTCGTAACTTCTCCCAGAATCGATTTATCCGATAAATAACATCATAACTTTGTGAGTTTTGTACATAATAGCAACCAGTTGTGCCCGCGGCTACGCCCGCGTGAAAATAGCCTACCTGTGATGTGTAAGCTATGTTATTGTAAAGTTTCATTCAAACCCATTCTTGTTGGTTTTACGTGAAAGAGTAACAAACATCCATTCATCCATTCACACTAACAAACATAATTTTAGTAAGATATCTATACTTAGTAGTTCCGAAATAATATGTTTTTTTAAACAGTGAAAGAATTTTCAGTGAAACTATTGCAGTGGTGGAACCACTACAATGGTTTGAAAATTCTTTTGAGTTTACTGTTGTCATAACAAATAATAAATATCAGAAATTTTAGTTTCCATATTATATATGCTGCATAGTCTTATATCTCACGCTGAATATTAAATGGCATTAACTCAATGATATGTTTTTAGAGTATCGACCTTAAACCTATGTAAATTAAAGTCTATTTTCAATGTTTTAATTACACCAGTTCAGTATTAAACCTGCGATGTATGTAACATGGCAACTTTGTCTTGTTAAACTTGTTTTGAGAAATCCAGTGAATGAGTAGTGACGAAAACTTGGCACTATTTTTCATACAAAGTTTAAATTAGATAGACTATTTACAGAGTATAAAATATCCGCTATGAAAGAATTCCTTAAAAATTCCAAAAGGAACTAGGTATAGTTGATTCCCAAAGTGACGCCATAGAAACACCGTAATCACGACATAACATGTACCTTAACCACCACAGTCTAATATCCAGAGCATTATTAATATCTATAGGCAATGATTACGGCATCCGTGCTCTAGTGGTTTAGCACATCACCTTTCTATGAATGTTCGCTGGTTTGATTATCGCCAAATTTTTGTTAAATATTTCTATGCTCTTCGCAGCTAGATTATAAAGTTCTAGCACAAACATTTATGAGTATGATTGTATTTTTTTATGGATGACAAAGAAATTATGCACCCGCCTGCGCTAATGGTATACGCTGGCGGGGTATCAGTGGAGTTTGATAAAATAATCATAAAGTCAGGGCAGCTAGCCTATCTTGGCAAATGATTATTTACCACGATGGTTTCCAGGGGGAACCGCGTAGAGGTCAACCTAACATGGTACATTGTTAGCAAAGGGGTTTTTAGACCATCTGAGTGGTTTATATGTTGGTATATAATGTATGTACTTAAGTATTTATATCAGCTGTTTTCCCATCGTATCTTAACAATTAATACAGAGCCATTCACGGTAAGGAGAGCTTGTGTAATGGATACTAGACGACTGATATAAATACTTAGATATTTTATTTATAAATACATACATAATACACATAGAAAACACTCAGATCGAGACAAACAATCATATTCATGAATACAAATGTTTATTTTGCGAGGAATCGAACCCGCGACCATCGGAAGTAAAGCGCTGTGCTAAACCGGTATACCACCGAGGCCGTCGAGGGTTATTAATACCAGTTACCACCACTTCCCTGTGGTCCGTCGCAAGCGTGTTTAGCATACCAAGTTCTATAAAAGCCAACTACTATAAGTATATTATGTACATATTTATAGAAGCCATATAACAATCTATTGTTACAAAGTATCAGCTACGTAAAGTTATAAGGCTGTAATAGGAATGGGTATTATATTATCAGATCGTATATATGAGCTTTAGTTACAAGTAGACGTTGAAAACGCGTCATACCGTAGTGTTGTAACTAGCTAATCAGAAATATCTTTATATTCTAAATTTGTATTCTTTTATATTTATATATAAATTTTTATATATCTATATATAAACTTAATACAAATTTAGATAAACAAGAACAGAACTATTTCTGTTCTTGTACAATTTTATTTTTACCTTTTTGTTTTTACTTGACAAGCCTTTAAATAATCTCCGTAGTCCGAGTATTTTTCTTAAACTGCTATTTATTTATATAGAAATAAAACTACAATAATCAGTTATTTACAACTCAACTTAAGATTATAAAGATCGTGCATTCAAATCTGACGGAAATAAAAAAATGTATCAATTTGTATTTCTGACTGTGACAATACTGATTATAAACTATATTAATTCGACCGTAGGCGGTAGGCTCTCTATGACTATGTTTGATTCAAAGTATACACCATCTCTAGAATCAATTAGATTTGTTAACGGTGTTCCATAAGAAAAGAGTTAGTTATAATTTTTAATGTGTTGTATTGCGCGCTTTGTTTTTCTTGTATAACAATATATTAATCAAAATTAATTAAAAAAAATAACATTTCATTTTACTTTTTTTCAGGGCCTGGTATAAAGGGCACCATGGCCATCCTGAACTGTCTCCTCGCCCGACAACTGTGCTTCGAAGATGCCTCCTGCTCCGCCATCTTGGAAATTATACCCCGCGTCTGTGGATCTGAACTTGGTAAGTAACAGTTCTGATAAATTCTTAAGGAATATCCTTACAAAATTGAGAACATCAACAGGAGATAATACATAACTTAATAAAAAATTTCGATTAATGTGTTTTGATTAAAAATTAGAATAAATTACTTTAAATTATACGAGAAATGTCTTTTTAGATGGTGAGATATAGATGACGTAAATAGTTACTTGAACAATTCAGTAAACAAATTTGAGAATATGTATGATAAAATTGATTAAGAATTATCTAACTATAAATAAAGACTATAAATAAGAATGATTCTGAAAATTACTGAATAATAAAGACATATATATTTAATTACCTCATATCATGATAGATGATGATAGATAACTATATACTGTGTTAATATAAATATAATTAAATATTATATTTATATTATATTTAATTATATTTATATTAACACCGTAAAAAAGCTTACGTAACAATAACAAACTGATTTTACCTAAATGTCGTTTGGCTAAAGTTAGTAATTCGTTTTATGGCAATTGCGTAAGCTTTTACATTAAAATACCAGAGTCTGTTATAAATCTGCCAGAAAAAAGATTTAAATGTCAAATAAAACAGTTCCTTTGCAAAAAAGCTTACTATAAAATTGAAGAATTCGTTTACGATAATAATGTTTTTATAGAAAAACTTTAAATCCATAGCACTGACAATATTATCTGATTACACTAATGAAGAGTGCGTAGCGATTTATATGTTGATTATCGCATGCCTCTTACTTGTTATACTGTAATTATTTATATAAAAAAACATCTATTAAAAAGAGCAACACACAAGTTTCTTGCTCAGTGGTTGCTCTTGCTTGAGTGGTAGAATCAAAATTTTACTATTCAAAAGTGCTTGTAATGAGTTTATTTAAATAAAGATTATTTCTACTTCTATTTCAAATATATAAAATTCAAAAGAAGGCCATTGTTGCATTTATAATATTAGTATTAATAATATAATTATTTATGGTTTGGAATTTACCCAAAAAGATTCATCCATATTTCAACTTTCTTAATATTATAAATCAGCCCTAAATAAATATTAATATCAAAAAAAATATATAAACCACATGCCACGTTAGAAAAAACATGAACTACAAAATAAAGGTCGCTGAAATTAAACACTGTTTGCTTTCTAAACAAATCGTTTTGAGAAGAAAATACGAAGGTACAGTCGTTTCTTTTGTCAAAACGCCAACATTATGCATGAAAGTACTTGCAAGGACCAACCGTGGCCTCCTCCCACGTGATGTCTGCCCGGCACACGGTCACACCGACGTGTAAGTTCTACTATACTATGCAATATTTAGTTATTAAAACTTCAATACACTAATAACGGTGCACATGGAGAACCTAACGCACCTAACACATTTTCTCCCTGTCAACTTCGAGCAAACAGAAATTCATATGAGCGGTGCATTATCGAAATGAACAATCTGTACATAGTATAAAACAAAGTCGCCACCACCATCTATTTGCTTATCTTTTAAGTTACGCAACGGATTTTAATGCAGTTTTCAGAAATAGATATAGTTATTTAAGAGGAAGGTAATGTATAATACATGTTATGATATAAATCGGGCCGAGATATTCAAAGATTTGTAATGTTAAATAAAAGATACTTTAAATCTGATTAAATATATATACATCTGTGGCCATGCTTTTTTTTTATTTATTTAAATAACTTTAATATATGTTATACACAAGTAAAAAGTACATATAGCGGACTTAACACTTATCTACATATGACAATAAAATAAATTTATATTTATTTATTAGCATTTTTGTATGTAATTGGAACGGCAATCAATCAGTTAATCCACATGATAGGAAACGGTAACTGTCGCCTATATACATGAACATCACTACGGACAGAATGTTATTATATGAAGTCCGTGATGCCACTCATACGTTCCGAAGGACTAAGACTGTCAATCTCTTATCCTATAATTTTACTGCCTAATCGCACCCTACCACAGAAAGACAGCTTACAGCTTAGCTTAGCTTATATCTTAGTAACGAGAGGATAGAACTATTACCGTGGAATTTTCAATTGATTTAGAACTATTGCAAAGCTATGGGCTACTCAGTATTTATGGGAGCGAGTACCAAAATCACTCTAAACGGGTAGAAGGCACCTTAAGAAACGCCTGGCGGTCAATTCCACCCTGACGATTACCGTCTTAGGCCACCACTAGAAGGTTTTGACCTTCTAGTGGTGGCCTAAGCTGAGACTGTCATAATCTCGATCCTAACTTTTACTTTATACCTATGATAATTTGCTAAATAATTTGATAAGTTTTAAAATCAGTGTTTAGACTAGAACATAAATCATGTATAATTATTATTAAGGAAATTACATTTTGATGTTAACAAGTGAGTTTTTTTATACACAATTTAAAGTTGATATTAATAAAGTAAAATGTTCTATAAGATTTGTCTTCTCAAATAAACGAAAACATTAAATGCATGATAACTCCGAAAAGAACTTTCTCGAAACTTTTCCATTATTTGGTAGGTAGGTTGTTACAGAGCTTTGTAGTAGGATTAGCTTTTCTCGTATTATCATAGCGTCATTTATTATTTATAATACTTAAGTATACCAAAGTTTTAGATACCTATTATTAGTACGATAGGATCGCCTCGTATATAATATTATATATGAATATATTTTATATAAATGATGATGAAATCGTGCTTCTGTCTAAGCTAACAGAGCCGCTACATTAAATACACTAGCTAAGTTAGGTTACAGCTATAGTTCTAACACCAGACCACTAGCAACGGAACACCAGTGAAAAATGATACGATAAGGATGAAGTCAGTCAGATTACTAATTCATATAATGAATTCACTTAGATTAAATTCATTTACCATGAAGGTTTCTCAAATTAAACGAGTAGAGGACGAACTTGCTTGGTATTGCTCTATTGTATCAATGGACCTTGTAGTTCTCCAGTAATATTTCACTCCTGCTGATCTTATACACACTCGCCAGTTTCTGTTATTGTTGGCTTCTCCATCAGAAAGACACGATAAATATAGTCATAATAAGTCATTAAATGATAAACTTACATAGAAGTTTATCTGAACTCAGAATTGAGGATTTTTATTAAATTTTAAGCGTACTTCTCTCCTGTGCCCCATGTTAGGTATTTTCGATTATCAAAAAACCACATTGTACAAATCCAAGTTCAAATTCAAAACCAATTAATAATGGGACATTTTTTGGCACTTACGCATGTGATTTTTTTATTATTCCTACTATTTTTCAATACATGATTAATATTGGACTTTTGCCACTTATGCATGTATATTTATATTATAATCTTATATACTTATATAATCACTCAGTATTTAAGCCTGTATCGACCTATTGTTCGATTCAGATGAACCTCGATTCTCAAATAGAAACAGTGGTCATAAAATAAAAATGTGTTTGCTTCTTAAAACATAAACCGAATGACAATAAAACTTAATCGGTGTAACCGTGTTCTTAAATTTTTAACATAATCTGATCGCATCGGTCTAAGAATCCGCCGAGTATTTTGACCTTTTGCCACAGTCACTCGAGGGAAGGTAAGGGAATAAAACATCAGAAGCTAGCTTTGGCTGAGTGAAACGTCATCAAATAATCACCCACAGTGAAGTATAGGCAGGGCGCGACCCGACTATACGAGTCCTTATTAGGGATTTTGTGGATCTGTCACAATCAAGTGAATATAATTTTTAACGGAGTTTTGTAAAAAGTTGTCTGCTTGGGTAGCACGATATCATCTATTTCAATCGCCAAGAAACTTGCTTTGTAATTAGTGTTTCTATTGAAGGGTTTGGTAAAACAAGTTGAAATTGCAGAATATAAAGGCAAAACATGTTAGTCATGGCATGAGTGGTACATGTGTCACGTGATAACGTGATGTCACAACACTTATCATCAAATGGCTCGTCAACTTGTTTGCCATTTACATAATATATAATATATATTTATTTAATAACGCTATTTGCTATATTCTTCTTATATATATGTTCTTACTAATTGTGAAACGAATTTGATGATTATTTTTTTAAACAATTAAGTTTATTCATGTGTCAACTTAAAAAACAGTACCAAAAGATTTAGTGCAACTAATAGTCTACCTAAATTAGACTATTAAATTTTATTATGTATTCTTATTTGTCTTTTGACCAGTATTTTTTTTCTATTCTATTCTATTATTGAAGTATTTTCATAAAGTATGTTACAATAAACAGTCTATTAAAGTAGACAAAACATACTTATATCGACTTTTTACTAAGCAATATATCATAATATTAATAACGTGACAAGAGTAACAAAGGCCGATAACAATAGGCGAGCGATACACTGAAAGGTCCATCGTCTACTTGTGTGGAACACCTACAATGGAAAGAGGTCAGTGTAGTGAATCTGTCATCCATTTTATGCGTTTATTGAGGCACAGTTAGTTATCTATATGAGCTGGTGACCTATAAAAGTTGATAACAAAAAATATCATTAGAGGATTGTGTTGGAGAAAGTTTTTTTTTTATTAGTTCAACGAGAGACGCAGTATGTGTGGTATTGGGAGTGTCAAATTAATACTATTTTGTTTATAAATCGAGTGAAATGAAATTGTTAGAATGAGGTTTGTTAGAACGATATACAAACTGTCTGATATGGCATGCATATTTGAATATATGAAGAGTGTGGCTTCTCTTATTACTGGCTTCGTGTTGAGTTTACTCTCTTACTTTTGTGCTGTTTATTTGATTGAATTTATCAATTAATGGGTTTATATATAATAATAATAATAATAATCTGAGACAATTCACACAACGCCATCTAGACCCAAGTTAAGCTAGCTAAATTTTGTTTTATGGGTACTATACAATTGACCTACATGGATGCATTTTTTTGTAAATAAATAGATATACACATAGAAAATACCCAGACCGATACAAACAATCATACTCATCAATACAAATGTTTGT